AGGATTGTTTTGCCAATCAGTTGTCCTACCGTCTACTTCATGATCTTTTCCCAGCAATCCTTCCCTTTTTATTGTGGGGAATTTGAGTAATTTTGGAAAAATATGACCACAGGGTGGCAGTAGAATAGGCTTTACTGAGTGATTGATGCTTGGACACTGTGTGCAGGGGACCTTGGCTCACAGCAGGAGTTCAAAGGGAAGTCTGGGCCAAAAGCCAGCTATTCAGATGAGAACCTTGAAGGAACTGCTGGGGAGTCAGGGGATGGCACAGAGCTTATGTGTCTCTTCAGTGTCACCCAGGAGCAAAGTACAGAGCTGGGTTAGAGAGCTCTGAAGGGCAGCAGCAGCTTGGAGAGTTCATGGCCTGGGCTTACAGTACCAGTTGCCAAAACATGAAGCTCAGGTTTTGTGGGCATGCATCTCTGGCAGGCTCTAATTGACTATGAATCTGCTCATTTGTGCAGCTTATAAGATAATTGAATATATAAGTTAGTTTGCTTTTGAAGTAAGGGGTCTCTGCCCACAGTAAAGAAATCAAGTAGGTGGAAGCTGACACATAGAGGACATCTTGGACGCATTTATTTAACACATGAAGGCAGAGTCTCTCCTATCTTGTCCTTTAAAATTCTGGCATAAACTTTTTATTGATCTGTTTCAAACAGGGTTTCATTATGCAGTTCGGGTTGGCCTCGAACTCATAGTGATCCTCCATCCTTAGCCTCCTGAGTGCAGGGATTACAGGCATGTGCCACCATTCCCTGCTTGGCATAAACACTGAGCAGCGTTGTTATAGTCACTCACTGAGGAGCATCTCTGCCTCTAGCACCTGCAGTTTTAGTCCTGATCCCAGGAGCATAGCATCAACCATTGTATTCTCCCGTGTTCCCAGTCTAAATGCAGCCCCTCTTAGGACTTCATTTGGCAAGGATTTCCTAGATATGACACCAAAATCATAAATAAAACAGAAAAAATAGATGAATTGAACTTCATCCAAATTGCAATCTTCTGTGTATCAAAGAATATTACTAGCTGAGTGAAACAGGCATGGTAGCACTCAGGAGGCTGAGGCAGAAAGATCACCACAAGTTCAAGGCCAGTCTAGACTACATAATGAGTTCAAGTCCAGGTCCAGCTACAGAGGGAGACCCTGTCTCAACAACAAAACAAGAAACAAAGAATGTTATTAGCAGAATGAAAATTATAATCTTGTAAAGGCTAAGTATTTATGTGTCTAATAAGAGTTTGGTATTCAAATATATAAAGAATTGTTATAGGGCTGGTGAGATAGCTCAGCAGACTAAAGCACCTGCTTAGGCAAGCTTAGGTAAGCACAGGGACCATGGTTCAATTCCCGGCACCATATGCCTCACCAGCCCTGCCCTCAGGGTGGGCTGAGTCGGCTAGAATCTGGGCATAGTGGCACATGCCTGTAATCTGAACTCTGGGGAGGCTGAAAGCAGGAGGATCACCATGAGTTTGAGCTGTGTAGCGCGACCCTGCAGCAACCAAATACATTTTTAAAAAAAGAATTGTTATAGTTTAACAACCAAAAGACAAATATCCCTCAACAATGGGCAAAGGATTTGAATAGTTATTTATCCAAAGAAGATTTGCACACATAACCAATAAGCCTATGAAAAGATTCACACTGTCATGAATCACTGAGAAACACAATCAAAACCATAGTACAGCACCATAGTGCATGTCTGTAAACTGATCTGCTAAGGAGGATAAGGCAGGAGAATTGCAAATTTAGGTCAGCCTGGTCAGTTTAGCAGGACCTTGTTTGAAGAAAAAAAATCCAAGAAGATATCACTTCATACCCATGAGGAGGGGTACCATGAAAACAAAGAGAAAATAGCAAATGTTGGAGAGAATGTGGAGCAATGACAACCCTCACACTGTGGTGGGAAAGTGAAATGGTACCTTCATCATAGAAAATGGCTTGGTAGTCCTTACAAAGTTAAATGTTCATATACTATATGATTCAGCTGTATGCTCCTGGTTATATACTGAACCTGAAAACAAGTGTTTAAACAAAAACTTGTATGTGAATGTTTGTAGAAGCACTGTTTATAATAGCCAAAAGGCACAAACAACCCACATGTCTATTACCTGAAGGAGGAATAAACTAAAGGTGGTCTGTCCACATAATGGAATATTATCCAGTCATAATAAAAGAATAAAATGCTGGTACTTGCTATCACCTGGGTAATCCTTGAAGACTGCTATGGTTTTGATGTTTCATCTCAAATTCATGTTGAAATTTAATTGCTATCATGACAATATTAAAAGTTGAGACTTTTCAGGGTCATCATGATGGTATAGTCCTCATGAATGGATTAATAAAAAAAAGATAGTTTCCTGATTTCTTTTGTGTCTTGATTGTGTTTGTTCATCCTTCCACCATGTTATGATGTAACATGATAATGTGGAAAGATTCTAGGGCTGTACTTTTGGAGTACAAAGCTAAATAAACTTTTTTGTTGTTGTTGTATTTTTAGGGAAGGGTCTACAGGGTGTTCAGGGTCTCACTACTAGATCAGACTCGGACTCGTAGTGATCCGCCTGCTTACAGCCTCCCAAGAGCTGGGATTATAGGCGCGTGCCACCACACCCAGGCTCAATCACTGTCTCAGGGGGTCCTGGGGGCGGGGCTGGCACGGTAGGCCCGCGGATTGAATCCTGGCCCCACTGCCTGCTTGTGGGTGCTTTAATCTGCTGAGCTATTTGGCTGGCCCTAAATAAACTTCTGTTGTTTATTAATTAACCAGTTTGTGCTGTTCTTTTATACCAGTGTTAACTGAAGACACAAAAGACCACAGAGTATGATTCTGTGAGTATGAAATATCTATAGTAGGCAAATCCAGTGACAAGAGGAAAGGTAAATAGTAGCCAGGAGCTGGAATCAGAAGGGATTGGGTCACAACTACTTAATGGCTTTGGAGTTTCCTTTTGGAGTGATAAAAATGGTCTGGAACGAGACAGTAGATATGAATGTATAATATTGTGAATGTACTATATGATAGAGAATTGTATTCTTTAAAATAAGTAAGGTGGGGCTGGTGAGATGGCTCAGTGGTCTAAAGCACCTACTTAGAACAAGCTTAGCAAAGCACAGGGACCACGGTTCAATCCCCCAGCACCACATGCCAGCCAGCCCCGCCCCCTGGTGGGCTGAGCTGGCCACACACACACACACACACACACACACACACACACACATATAAATAAATAAATTAAAAAAAATAAAAAAAGAATAAAATAAGTAAGGTAGTAAATTTCATGCTCTTTGTATGTGTATATTTTACCACAATTAAAAAAAGTATTGTTTTTCCTGTACAGGGGCTCAAATCCACATGGTAGGCAAATGTTCTACCATTGAGTTACATCTTCGACTCCCCAAAAGTTTTCATATAGGATAGAGTATGTATGAATGAAATAGAGTGAATGGAAGTGAATAATAGTATTATTGATTGGAGGGACACTTGGGGCACCGTAAAAGAGAATGAATTAGAATGATTGATTGGGTGGGAAGCAAAAAGCCATGAGCGGCACAGTAAACAAATGAAGGTAACAGACAGTCCTCTGTTCTTGGAAAGCAGTGATGGTTTTGGACAACTTCCCGTCCCCTTCGTGTTTCAGCAAAGAGCTAACTTCAGAGGCCCCTATCTTAGTCACTTTGGCTCCCATAACAAAATACCAGAGATTGGGTGGCTTAAACATTAGAAAATTTACTTCCCACAGCTTGTAGGCTGAGAAGCCTGAATTCAATGTGTCAGCTGTTTTATTTTCTGGTAAGGACTCTCTTTCTGGCTTGTACACAGATACCTTCTTGATGTCTCTTCATGTGACCTATATTTTTGGGCAGATGTAGAGTGAGCAAACTCTTGAGTGTCTCTTCTTCCTTTTTTTTGCGGAACCAGGGATTGAACTCAGGCCTTTGTGCTTGCCAGGCAAGCACTTACTGAGCCATTTCTCCGGCCCTGAATCTCTCTTCTTATTAGCGCAACAATTCCACTGGACCAGGGCTTTTCCTCATGGTCTCATCTAACCATACTTATCTCCCAAAGACTCCATTTATAAATACCATCACATCAGGATTTAAGGGGTCAACATACTTTTGGGAAGGAGATACAAGTCTGTCATAGTCCCAGTGCTTTTGCACTTTCTAAAATAAGCCCTCTGCCCATTCTTCATGACTCATGGATGACTCCTTTGTTCACTGCTTGGAATCCCAGGTCCCATTTCTTGCTTTGGGATGTTCCTCACATCTCCTTAATTGTTTGGTGCATTTTATCTTTCACAAGGGTCAAGCAACAGAGTGTGGTGAACTGGGTAGGGAGTTTGAAACTCAAAACCTGAAGGGTGTGTGTCTCCCCTCCCTTCCTTCCTTCGGGCGTCCAGTAGAACCTGAGCTTGGCTGCATAGGAATAGCACCCTGGCATCTGGGCCTTCCCAAGTTTCTCGGTCTTGGGGTCCATGGAAGGTGGGCATGGAGAATTAATTGTCAGATCTGTGTCCATTCTCCCTTAGTCTTTGACTAAGCTCTGATCTAGCCAGGGTCCCTTTTCCCTGGCATTGTGTGTCTGATTTTTCCGTACCTGTGTTTATTGGTGTCACTTTTTTGAAGACAAACTTGTACACCTCCCCGGCTTTCCCCACATCTGCACCAGTGGTATCTCCCACGTCGGGCTGTACCAATCTGAGCCTTGTTCAAACCAGCACAATTTTCTCTGGTGCTATTTCCTTGAAAGCACACCACCCCAATATCTCCAACCCATCTCCACATTCTCTTAGTCTGCAAGGAAATGTATTAGTCTCTGCTCAGATTCCCTTCTAGGTAATAGTTCCCAAGGAGGACAGTACCATTATTTCCCCCCCATCCTGGCAGTGGTATCGTCACACGGGGGAGGGGGTTTGTGGTGCTTAGTTCTAAATTATTTTTTAAAATCCGCAGGTAACTCGCTCCATTGGTAACCTGGTTTTTCACAAAGGGCTCCACTCTTTTCGCTCGTTTTTCAAATTCCTCCTGAAATAACATTTCGTCCAAACTTTATGAGGCACATTTTCCCCGCTGTACGGAATACTAAAGGCTATAAAGATGTCTGCTCCCTTGACAACCGGCTTATTGGCGCGGCCATTTTTCTTTCCAACCAAGTAAAATCATTGTAATCAAAATAATTTTGGCTACTAATGCCGATGGCTTCAAAAAGAGCTACTGCGCATGAGCAAGTATAGTGCGTGACAGTAACCAAGGCGGGGTGAAGGACGAAAAAGTGGCTATCAGAGAAGTTATGACTGATTTTGGAAACATCAAAGAGACTTTGCCAGAGTAAGAATTCGGATTTAAGATCAGAGCAGTGGGAAAAGGAGGGCAGAGTTACCGCGAGCGGAAGAGGTCTGGTATTCTACGGGCGGAGTGACACAGGCGAGTGTGGACTCTCTAAAGACGCGAATTTACTCAGTGAGTATATGGGAGGGGGCTCTCAGATGAGTAATGAGAGTGGGGGAGGGCGGTAAGCGGAGTGATGGGAGGACTGTAGAATGAGTGATGGGGTGCGGGGAGTCAATGATGGAGGGACTGTGGGGTGAATGATGGGAGTATTGGGGGTATGTGATGAGAGTGTCTGTGGAGTCATGGGGTCTGTAGTGTAAGCGATGGGGGTTCTGTGGAGTGTGTGATGGGAGGTCTTGAGGCAGCGATGCAGAATCTGGGGTGATGAGTGTGGGGTGGTCTATGAGGTCCATGATAGGGCTGTGCTGTTGAGAGATGGGGATTCGAGGGGAAAACAAATGTCCTTTCCCTTTTTTCTTAGCTATAGCGTGGCCATTTTACCAGCTGGCATTTGTGGATTTCTGGCCTGGTGATTTGGTGAACTTTCAATCTGGGTATTCCTTGCCATCCGCAGCTCTCCTCTTTTCTCCTCCTCCCTATCAACAGCTCTGCCTTTTTAGGCTTTTGCCTTCTCTCCACAACAGTCAGACATGACTAAGTTCCGGGTAAGTTCTTACTTGCTTCTCCCCCTCCCTCCTACCCATGTTAGGATAAGTAGAAGCAAGGAAACAATAGAGCACAGTGGTTAAGGCCACAGACTCTGGAGTTAAAGTGCTCTTAACAGCTTTGTGAGCTTAGGCATGCCATCTAACCTCTCTGTGCCTTAGTTTCCCTAGCTGCAAAATGGGGATGATGATAATGATGTTAGGATACTGACACTAATTCTAACCTTGTACAGTTGTTAGGATCAGTTATGTATTTAGAGCAATGCCTGGCACATTCAGCGGAGGCCTTGCACATGCATTTGATACTAATTATTGTGTTATTTATACCATAACATGGATATTATAAAAAGATACAAATTTCGGATTATGAAAGTAGAGCAAGAGCAGGGCATATATATATGCTTATGTTGAGTTATAGTTGCTTTTCAGAGCTTCCTAGAAGTCACAACATAAAGGAAAGGAAACACACTCACTTGTTTCACTTATCACACATTTAGAGAAAGTGAGTCACTTCTGCAGAAGCAAAGATTTTCTGATGTTCTCTTACAGGTCAGCCAAGTTCCCCATCTGCAATCTTGTAATAAACACAGGACTAGAATTTCTCTGCCATGACTTACAAGATATTTTCATGTTAGCCAAAGGTGTCCTGCCAGGGCAGAACTAAAGGGGTATGACTTTTCAGGAAACCAAAGTCACGTCTGCATAAAGGGCTCTCTTATGTTTTGGCTGGGCTTGGTGGTCAGGAAGAGTCAGTAAACCCTATGCCCTTCAAGTAGTTTTCTAATGCATTCTTTTCCTCATCTGGACTTTCACTACAGCCCCAGAAACCCATAGGGTAGGCTTGTTATTTTCCTTTTTGGTTGAGAATTCACGATGTACCTGAGCATTTTCAGTTCTCTCTGTCTCTCTGTCTCTGTCACTGTCGCTGTCTCGCTGTCTCTCTCTGTCTCTTTCTCTCTACCCCCCTCCCTGAGACAGGGTCTCATTGTGTAGTTCAGGCTGGCCTTGAATTCACTAGCCCAGGCTGGCTTCAAACTCTTAACGATCCTCCTGCCTCAGCCTCTTGTGTTCTGGGATTATAGGTGTGTGCCATCATGCCTGACTTCTTTTTCTCTTCTTTGGAAAACCTTTATGAATTCATTATTTTTTCTTTTCCTACAGAAGTGAGATAGGTGTAGCACCAAAAATTGAATTTCTCCAGGAATATACAATCTAAAAAGAAAAACCATCTCATGGTTTCATATGACCACTCAGTCCTTGTAACCAATTGTATGGTGAATTTGGTTAATTTCTGACTGTTCTTTCTGTCCTTGTTCTTTATATTTACATACACTTATAAAACGTTAACAAAAGACTTGGGGGTAGGGGACTGGGAGTGTAGGTCAGTGGTAGAGTGCTTTCCTAACATGTACAAGGGCCTGGGTTCCATGCCAGCACATCAAACATGCACCCTCATGGGTGAACACGCACACACATTTCATTGCTAAGATATCTCATTATGACCAAAATCTGAAAAAATCCCGAATCCGAAAAATTTCTTGATTGCAAGCATTTCAGATGAAGGATACTCATGTGTAAAAGTAATAATAATGATAATACAAATGACGATGAGGACGAGAGAAACAGCAGAGCAGGGGCTAACATGTAGTGAGCTTACACTATGCCTGGGATTATATAAAGCACTTTACACTACGTAACCACCCTTCAATTTTTATTCTAGCCCTATGAAGGAGTACAGAGGAGGAACTGAGTCCCAGAGTAGGTAAACAAGTGGCATCCCACACATGATCACTGGTACAGCTGGGATGGTTCTATTTGGTGAGGACTTGTTGGTATATGTTTCAATATCAGTACATACAGTTATTATTTTTTGCATGTGTGGTTCTGGAGATGGAACCTAGGGTACTGAGCATGCTAGGCAAGCATTCTACCACTGAACTACAAGCCAGCTCTGGGGTTTGTTTTATTGTACTGCTAGGAATGGAATCCAGAACTTCACACATGTAGGCAAGTACACTACCACTGAGCTCTATCCCCCAGCTCATAGAGATATTGTTAACAGATGCATTTTTCTCTTTTATACATGCACGTTGATTTATTAACCAGCTCCATGTTGAAGGACTTTGTGTGATTTCTGTTACAGTGTGGCAGTGATCTCTCTTGTCATTTATCTTTGTGTACAATGGCAAACATTTCTAGGATGTCTGGCTCACAAAGTAGGCATGTTTTGAACTTGCACAGACAATTCAACTTGCTTTTTAAGATGTTAGTACAAGTTGACACTTTCACTAGTGAAGGGAATTCCCCTTTTTACTATTGTTGTCATAGTTTTAAGTCTTGTTAGTTGTTAGTTGAAAATATGTCTTTTTTTAGCTGACCATGGTAGCACATACCTGTAGTCCCAGCTCCGTAGGAGGCTGAGGCAGGAGGATTATGAATTTGAGGCCAGCTTGGACAACATAGTGAGACCCTGTTTCAAAACCTAAATTAATATGTAGACATATAGCTCACTGCTAGAGTTTTTGCCAAACATGGGCAAAGCCCTGGTTTCCATCTGGAGCCCTGCAAAACAAAAGCAAAAACCCTCCTCTTGTTCTTGTTTATTTAATTATCAAGGTGGTTGAGTATCTCTTTCTACTTTTTATATTTACTTTGGTGAATTTCTTTTTACATGCATTGCTCTTTTTCCTTGGGGATTTTTGAATTTTTTTTCTTTTGCATTGCTGGGGGTTGAACCCAGAGCTTTGCACATGTTAGGCAAGTGCTGTACTATAAAGCCATATTCTCAGCCCCTTTAAACCTTTTATAGAAATATAACTCAGATAAAAATCTGTTGAAGTAGATTTATTGAAGCCTAATATGGTGAGAAAATTGGACAAGATGTATAGTTTTATGAATTTCTGAAAATTGAAAATACCTGTTTAACCAGTACCTGGTTTAAAAAGAAATGACACATCACCAAAAACCTTCATGACACTGTCACTCACTGTCTCTTAACTTACCAGTAATTACTTTCTTATTTTTATCACTGTAGATATCTTTAGCTTGTTATTAAATGCCATATAAATATGACCATGCATCATTATTTTGGGGTCTGGCTTCTTTCATTTATTATATTTGCTTTCTTTTTGGGAGTGTTACTGGCGATTGAACCCAGTGTCTTATATATACCAGCCAAGTGCTCTACCACTGAGTTACATCCCCACCTTATCATAATGTTTTAGAATTCATCCTTGTTACTTGCTATATCAGTTATTTGTTCTCTTTCCATGACTGTCTTAGTTGGTTGTAGAAATATATTACAGTTATTTATCTGTTCTACTGCAGATGGATGTTTCCATTTTGGCTATTACAAATAATACTTGTATGAATTTTCTGGTTCATGTTTTGGTGAACATAGGTATGCATTTCCATTGGATATATACCTAAGAGTAGAGTTGCTAGTCCTAGGTTAGGGGTATTGTCAGCCTTAGTAGATTCTACCAAGCTGTTTCCTCAGCAACTATACCATTTTACTCCCACTGACAATACATGACAGTTCTAGTTGCTCCATATCCCTGCCAATTTTTGGGTTGTTGGTCTTAATTTTAGCCATTCTGTTGGTATATATTGGCATCTTATTGTGGTTTACATTTGTATTTCTTTGATGACTAATGATATTGAATACCTTTTCATATACTTATTGACTATTTGGGTATCTTTTTTTGGTCAAATATTCAAAACCTTTTTTTTTCTTTTTCTGTTGTGTTATATATGTTTATTTATTATGGAAGTTCTATATAGTTTCTGTGGAATAAAGGTCCTTTACTTTATATAGATATAGCAAATATCTTGGAAAAGGCTTTTTGTGGTGTTGGGGATGAAACCTAGGATATTGCACAAGCTAGGCAGGCACTCTGCCACTGTGCTATATCCCTAACCTCTAAAAAAAAAGGCTCTTTTGAAATGAAACAGTGGATTCTCTCTGAAGAATGTTTCCTTTATCTAAAAACTCATCACTCTACCCTGATTTGATCACTACATATTATGTTACATGTGTTAAATATTACTATACCTCAAAATATGTACAATTATTATGTATGGATTTAAAAAATCATTAAAATAAAAACGTTTTTTGGGAAATACTATAAGTTTAATTTTTGTCAAAGTGACTGAACAAAAGTATGCAATTACAGGGATCAGTGTCATTTGAGGATGTGGCCGTGGACTTCACACAGGAGGAGTGGAATCAACTGGACCCTACTCAGAGGACCCTATACAGAGATGTCATGCTAGAGAATTATAGCCACCTTGTCTCTCTGGGTGAGGATGGCTTCCATGAGTAATGTCCCCAATAGAATAACTTAGCATCTCTGATGTACTTCAGTGCTTTGACATCAGGTTGTAGGGATTAAAGATTGTTAAACTGAAAAAGGTGTTTGTATTTTAATGTGAAATTTACTCATGTTAAAATGTACCTTCCTAACTATTTGAAGCTCTAAAGGCCACACAGAGGTGCCCAAGTCTTGTATCATTTTCCTTTGCAGGATATCCTATTACCAAGCCAGATGTGATTACTTCTTTGGAGCAGGGAGTCCTTGGGATCATAAAGAAAGAAATCCCAAGTTCAGTTTGTACAGGTAAGAAATGAGAGATAAAGGATGAAGGAAATAAGAACTGTGAGGGTCTGTGAGAACTTGTTATCTTGGAAAGTTCCAAAACATTTTCCTGAAGGATATGTACTATTGTTGCTAACTCCAAATTGTTAGTTTTTAAAAATTATTATCTCATAGTAAGCTTGAAATAAGATGGTGAGGAACTACACTCTGGCTTTGTCCTCTTCTTCTTTGGGTTACCTCAATTGTTTTCAGTCTTTCTGAAAAGTGCTTTGCATTTTAATTTCTCCTCCCAAATCCAAAATCTCATCCGCCAATGTCCTTTTCCTATTAATGTCCCCTAAACCTATTTTTATTTTCTCTCCTAGTTTGAAGTATTTTTCTTTTCTTTTCTTTTCTTTTCTTTTCTTTTCTTTTCTTTTCTTTTCTTTTCTTTCTTTCTTTCTTTTTTTTTTTTTGTATTTTAGGGAAGGGTCTACGGGGTGTTCAGGGTCTCACTACTAGATCGAACTCATAGTGATCTGCCTGCTTATAGCCTCCCAAGAGCTGGGATTACAGGTGCATGTCACCACACCCAGTCTCAATTGCCTTCTCAGCGTGCTCTGGGGGTGGGGCTGGTAAAGCAGGCCCAGTGATCAGACCCCTGGCCCCTGTGCCTGCTTGCAGGCGCTTTAATCTGCTGAGCTATTTGGCCGGCCCTCAAAGCTATTTTTCTTGAATAGTCAAGTTACTTATATTTATTGTTACTTCCTAATTCTAATACCTATTGTTATAACTTGTCTATTTTCCCCTCAAACTCTAAGTGTAGTAGATCTGTGTACTTGGAATTTCTTTCTGACTAGTAGCTAGGTTTAAAATAAACATCCACCTATCAGAAGCCTCCTTCTGACAAAGGTGTACTCACAGACTATGGTTTATCACTCTTCTTTCTAGAAGATGAGAAAGCTGAAGACCAGCTGGAGAAGCACCAGGAAAATCAAAACAGATACCTGAGGCAAGCTATATGCATTGATGAGAAGAAATATGTGGCCAAGGAAGGAGGTCACGAATGTGATGGATTTGTAAACCCACTTCCTCAGGGCACATGGGTAGTTTCTTCAGGACATACACCCTATATAAATGACTCATGTGGTAAAACATTTAAGGATAATCTGGGTCTACTCAGTCCTAATAGTCTCAGCTTTGCAGCACAGCAGTGTTACGAATGTAATGGATGTGGAAATTTATTAATTCATGGCAGGCATGACATGAATAGTGGAATGAAACCTCATGACTATAATATTTGTGGGACAGACCATAGTCATAACTTTGTTCAGCATGATATGACTCAGGCTAGTGAGAAAACCTATGAATGTCCCGAGTGTAGACTGACCCTCAGTACAAATTCACTCCTTATTGTTCATCAGATCACTCACATAGGAGAAAAACCTTATGAATGTACAGAGTTCAGAGACACATTTGACAAGACCACACACCTCAGTATACACCAGACGATGCACACAGGAGACAAGCTCTTTGCCTGTAATGAGTGTGGCAAATCATTCAGAGAAGAATCCACACTGCATATACATCAAAGAACTCATACAGGGGAAAAACCATATGTGTGTGCTGAGTGTGGCAAAGCATTCCAAGAAAAGACAAAGCTAATCATACACCGGAGAACTCACAAAGGAGAGAAGCCCTATAAATGTTCAGATTGTGAGAAAACCTTCAACCAGAAGGCACACCTCAGTGTACATCAGAGAACACACACAGGGGAGAAGCCTTTTGAATGCAGTGATTGTGGCAAATACTTCAGAGAGAAATCAACCCTGAATATACATCAAAGAACTCATACAGGAGAGAAACCATATTTGTGCAATGAGTGTGGCAAAGCCTTTCGAGAGAAGACAAAGCTCATCATACACCAGAGAACGCATACGGGAGAGAAACCCTATGAGTGTTCAGAGTGTGGGAGGGCATTCAACCAGAAAGCACACCTCAGTGTACACCAGAGAACACACACAGGGGAGAAACCTTTTGAGTGCAATGAGTGTGGCAAAGCTTTCAGAGAGAAATCAACACTACGCAGACATCAAAGAATTCATACAGGAGAGAAACCTTATGTGTGTCCAGACTGTGGTAGAGCCTTCACCTTAAAGTTGAGCCTCAGTGCTCATCAGAAAATTCATACAGGAGAAAAAACAGATGGATGTACTGTATGTGGAAAAGTCTTCTCTCGGAAGTCGTATCTCATGCTACATCAGAGGTCTCACACAGGAGAAAAATTTGAGAAATCCTATGAATGCAATGAATGTGACAAAGCATTCTTCCAAAAATCATATCTCATTATTCATCAAAGAGTTCACACAGGCGAGAAACCCTATGAGTGTAATGTGTGTGCAAAAGCTTTCTCCCAAAAATCATATCTCATTATACATCAAAGAACTCATACAGGAGAGAAACCCTACAAATGTGATCAGTGTAGCAGAGCCTTCAGAGAGAAGTCCAAACTCACTGTACACCAGCGAATTCACATAGGTGAGAAACATTACGACTGCTCTGAATATGAGAGAAGCCTTCCAGAGGTCATAACTCCTCATGGGTTCAACAACTCCGAGGGAAGAGAAAGCAAGGAAATGAAAATAGAACATCTTTCATAGCAAAATCAAAAAAGGAAAGAAAGTACAAAAAGTGAGGTGGGTGATTGTGTTTTAGCTTAGTTGATCAGGGAAGGCTTTTCTGAGGACCTGATATTTGAGCTTCAGTCTTAAAATGAACCACCAGCCATACTGGAGGAAGAACATTCCAGGCAGAAATAGTAGCAAGATCCAAGGTCCCAAGGCAAAAACTTGGCCTTTGGAATTGGATCATGGGTGTATATTTTGCTAAAACTTTCTTTTTGTTACTGTTGGTTGAACCCAGGGCATCCTACATGCTAGGCAAATGCTCTACAACTGAGCTACATACCCAGCTCTTAGCTATATATTGTTTGATTAACATCAGAGAGGTTGTTCAACACTGAAATCTTTTGAAGCCTTCAATACATGAGAGGTATCAGTTTGGAGGCTAACCTTTACCATAAACCTAGGCAGAAACATCAAGGATAACACAATTTAATTAGTCCATAAGTATAGTCCCTTGGAGATGATGTAAGGGAAATGGATTTTCAAATTAATACCAAATTCTCAGAGAAGAAAATTAATAATATTTGTTAAGAATACCTATTTTTGTCATCTCACAGTGGGAAATAAATGCTACCTCCAAAGAGAAAAGTGCTTATTGAATGATAAAGTACAGATTTAGAGATAACCACTAAAGGAACAACAATGAAGACTATACTTAAGTGTTCTGAATTATTAGAAAAGAATACATATCCAGAATAATGTAAAGAAAACAACACTAGGGCATCAAACCCAGTTCCCAGAAGTAACAACAGTTGATAATGCCAGAGTTTCCACTACAGCATGCTCTATGGGCAAGATGGTGGCTCTGTTTCTCTGTGTGGACCTTCCTTTCTGAGCCCTATCATAAAGCCTTTTCAGAGAGACTATGAGCTGCTTGATAGGCTTGTAGGAAATCCAGTCTTTACTTACATTTACCAGAGTTTTTTTATGCTACTTTTAATGAATAATTGTCACTTCAGAATTCAGGACCCAGAGTTATGGCACCCTTTATGTACCCCCAAGGAGATGTAAGATTTGGTTATCTCTGTTGGTTGGGTTTGAACACAGGCATGATCTAATTGGCTATAGGAATGGGTCTCATGCTTTCTCTGGCATGGACTGGCAGCTGCCTGGTAGCCAAGTAACCACGCCCAACCAAAGAGTACAAAGGACATGAAGGACTTCTTCATGAGAGTGCCTGCTTCCCGTGGGGGTGGCCAGTAAGAAGAAAAAGAATGGCAAGTTCAAATTCCTAAATGCTCTGCTCAAGACATAGACTGAAACCCAGAATTCTGTACAAAGAAATTATTATCTTGTATATCCATTACATTCCTTGCCTAAATTCCCAGTCTTTTGTTTGGAATTTAGGATTTTGATTGCCAAAGGGCATTGTGGGGCTGAGAGCAAAGATGGTGCTATGTGAGAGGATGTAGAAGTGTGTGGTTATTTTAAATTCCCAATTCCCACTGAGCTTCTTATGTAAGCTGAATCCAATTCCATTTGCCCTGGAAGAGATTGTATGTGTCTTAAATAAAGACCTTGTAGTGGCCTCAAATGAGACTGGTGCTTTTTAAAAAAAGTTTTAAGAGAGTACAAATTCGAATTAAAGCAGAAAAATTTACAAGTGATACAGAATTTCACTTAACAGAGAAATATGAATTTCACAGTATTTGTTGTAATACATAAGGTAAGCCAATTTTTATATTGTTCCATCCCTCTGTCTCCAAACTTATAACTTATATCACTTTATGTGCTCTACAGATTTTTTTTGGTATTGGCTGGGGAGATGGCTCAGTGGAATAAGTGCTTCTCTGGCAAGCGCAAGGACCTGAGTTCAATCCCTGGTTCCTACCAAAAAAAAAAAAAAAAAAAAGAAGAAAAAGAAGAAAGATTTTTTTTGATATTGTAGTAAGGGTCTATAGGATTTACAGGGCCTCACTATATAGATCAGACTCATAGTGATTCTCCTGTGTTCAGCTTCCCAAAGAGCTGGGATTACAAGTGTGTGCCATCACCCAGTCTCAATCACTGTTTTAGTGTGCCCTGGAGGTGGGGCTGGCCCAGCATGCCGGGGATAGAACCCTGGCCCCTATGTTTGCCTAAGCAGGTGCTTTAATCCCCTGAGCTATTTGGCCAGCCCTTCTGCAGATGTTAATTTAATTAATCCTCCCAATACCTTCATGAGGTAGTCACTATCCTCTTCATTTTCCAGGTGAGGAAACCAAGGCATAGAAATTAAGTGCTTCTTCTAAGGTAACACAGCTAATAAGTGGTAGAAATGGTATTTGAACCAATGAGAGAGAGATCCTGTGCCCATAACGACTCCCTTATCTTTCCATCCCCAACACAAACTGATCTGGCATCTTTTTAAAAAATGTATTTAGTACAGGGTCTCACTACACAGATTGGATTCATAGTGATCCTCCTGTTTTCAGTCTCCCAAGCACTGGGATTACAGGCGGGTACTATCATGCCCAGTTGCAGTCATGGTGTCAGCGTGCCCCAAGGGGTGGGGCCAGCAGGGCACACCAGGGATTGAAGCCTGGTCACTGCATTTGCCTAAGCCAGCGCTTTAATCTGCTGAACTATTTGGCCAGCCCTCTGATCTGGTCTCTTGATGACAGCTGTGAAGATGTGAGAGGAAGTGCACTGGAAAACTAAAGAGGGCTGGGAAGACAGCTCAGTGGACTAAGCACTTGCTTAGACAAGTGCAGGGACTGGGGTTCGAACCCCGGCACCATATGCCTCATCGACCCCACCCCTAGATGCACTGAGCTGACTACTGAGACCAGGCATGATGGCACATGCCTGTAATCTCAGCACTGGCGAGGCTGAAAACAGGAAGATCATTAGGAATCTGAGCTGCATAGTGAGATCCTGCACTAAATATATAAAAACTAATACAAAAAATGAGAGACATATGTTAGGCAATGTTTGCATTGTTTATTGTGGGTTTATTAAATGTGCAAGAGAAAGGAAATAAAAATTTCCATTCCTGGGAATTTGAATTATGAATTAATTTTGTTTGAGTTGGGTTTCACATACACATCACATCCCTTGAGCCATTCAGATAAATCATGGCCAGAACAGTGCTGGTTCCATGAATCCCTGGAAAATGAAAAGAGAGAATCATAGGATGAAATAGACAAGTTGATGCAATGGCAATACTACTCTTCCTGGCTGCCCATCCCCCTCTGAACTTACCAGGCATTCATACTGGTCTTTGAGGACACTACCCGCTTGGCACACATGATGTCATCCAGAATATGGCGGTTAAGCAGATCTGAAGGGGGGCAGAAAGTGCAACATGATGACCTGGTGCACTGGGAACAGGGTAACAGTGTATGTAGGACTCAGGGTTTCTGAGTTCCTTGGGGCCACAATTGATTACTACATTGTCTGATTAGGGATGACATTGACTCTTGTTACCTGGTTATTTATCAATGGTCTCAACTGCTACATTTGCTGGTTCTGTACAACCGTAACTCATGTTGACTGATCCTGGCTGATCTTGACTCATTTTGGCTTGTTATGAATAACCAAACCAATGCTCTAGACAGCATAAAACTCCATGTTCATTAAGACTCCAACTGTCATTATGTCTGGTTTGAATGCTCTTAACTCTAATGCTGGTGGGCCTGAGATATGCTCAACTGCCATGTTGGTTAACTGGTAAGCTTACTTGCCATGTTGACCAATTCTGGTGACTTTAGATACTATTGTTGTTTGGTCCATCATAAACTCAGCTCCTATTTTGACTGGTTATGAATCTCCATATTGGCTAGTCATGTACCACCTCAACTACCCTGAAGCCTGGTCATAGATGACTGCAACAACCATGTTGGTTACATTAGAATGACCTAACTACAACTTAGCTATTAATCCCCTCAACCACCATGCTGTCCTGTCCTAGACAATCTCAGCTGCCATTTTTATTAGTTACAAATAAATTTGACCTCCATTTTAGCTAATTCTGGATTACCTCAATTTTCACGCTGTTTCTTTCTTTTTTTTATTTACTTATTCAATACTTTATTTTTATATTTTTAGATTTCTGACATTTGTTTTATATTTTGGGTTATAAACCAATATCACTATTCTACTGTATTGCTCAAATTGCTCCAGCATTGGGCCTCAAGAGCTCTTTCAGTTGGCTTCCTATAACTGTTTTTTTTTC